GTGAGTGCTTATCGTGAACCTACAACAGATACATTGACGCAAGACTGCACTCTAGTCGTTGTTGAGTTAATTGTCAATAAATTGTTTTCTGGAAAATGTCTAAATTTCACCTTTACAACCTGATACTATCAATTGTATTACCAAGTTAAACGTGAAATCCCTACGTTCCCAGAGGAAAGTTCGAGAATGGGCTAAACTGAATGTGCACATCTTTACAGAGCTTCTTGGTCAAAATTGACCCTTTTATTGGCCGCTCTTGCATGAAGAGGCATTTCTGGCCATATTGACATCTCGAATCGAGATCGATCGCTTATTCGTAATAGGAAATGATGATGCCGATTCCCGATCGACGATCGTTCCTACTAGGAATCCTCTCGAGCGGGTCCCATCCCACGGTCGCAGCCCGATTTCCTTCGGCGGAACCAGGCGTCGCCGGGGATCCCTCAGAGTGCCGACTCGCCTTCGTTTCAGCAAGAAATGGGCACGGATCGTGCGCGTTCGTGCTTTTGGAAAGTTGTAGCTAATGAGTCGTCTAAAACCATGAAAAGTTCCTCTACTTGGAGATTTCCAAGAAAAGTCGTACTCACGAGAGCAATACCTTCAGGAATTGAAAGGATATGCGTTCTATCTGAGCCACCTGGATCCAGGACATACTCCGAAATACTTATAGTCAGTTTAATACTTCGAAAAGGTCGAAGTATTAAACAGACAATTCCCATTACTTATAATCAAAAGCGCTTATATGATCCATAAGTGCAAATCATTACGCAAAGTATGTTTCCTTTTAACATGAGAAACCCGACTTCTGGTTTGGCTCTTTGGAAAGGCGATCCGGTTGCAGTGAATCCTTCGGAAAATCGTGGAGCAATAAGAAAATATCAGGGGGGGGGGGAAAGTCCTTCACCCAATAAAAACCGGAGCATTTTATGGGTGGAAATCCTAATTAGAAATCCAAGAAAATCAATCCGTGTATTCCATAGTAAAAAATGAATCAAATGCCTTCCGAAATGAAACCCGCGTCATATTGATTTATGCTAATGCGAAGTTCGAAGGGGTGCAAGTGCACACGACGATTCACGTGCGAAAATCAATGATAGCTCCTTCAAAATTTCCAAATATTCACACGGAGACACGGATTAAAGCGATACAAATGAGTCATATGAAACCCTTAAGTGGGTATGACGTATACATGCGTCAAAAGAAAATTCGATGGGTTTTACATTTTTTTCCCATTCTATGTTCCTAGTTCGAGTTGAATATGAACGCTAACCTCGGAAAAGGAGTATCAACTAGAAAAAGGGCGGAATAATTCTTCCACAAACAATAGCTTACGACAATAATTAATGACACTGGCGGTAGCATTCCTTTCGAGAAATTTCACACTTAAGGGCTTAAAAGAAACAAATGTTAAAGGTAAACATGAACGTGTGGATGGCATTTCCCACGTATTGTAAGAAGGAAATGAGTTTCCTAGATATCCTTCGGAGGAAACTCCCGTCGGTAGAATATCGAGGATCGTACGAGAACCATGAAATATATACGAGCTGCGACAGGCTCTTCAGGACGAGGTACACATAAAAGGCGCAAACAAATCATACAGCATGTCGACCAATAATCAGTTGAATAGAATAATGTTGTGGAATGCACTGGCCACAATTGGACTATAGAGAAAAGTGACAAATCTCCTCCAAGGAAATATACAGGTACTTCCCTGGCAGGGTGTATTGGCTATATACCATTCGTGATATTTGTTGCTGAATCCGGCTGCAACATCGGTAGTTAGCCGATATTGCATGCAGGACGGTCTCATTGATCTGATCAGTGCTTGACTGCATCGATGACCCCATTTCTCCGCCGGAAAAACTTGCAGCATTTTCTGCAGCAAATCAGCTCGATGGCGAAGATAGCGAGGTGGGATACACCGAGAAACATTCCCACGATTCCTCCAACGCCGACCAGCAAATCACGAGGAGTAACCATCTCTTTCTCCAGGATGTGAGGCACCTGTTCGAAGAAGCAAGAAACACATTTTAAGCTCACGACTTACTGAATGAAGATGGACCTCCATGAGAAGAGATGGAAACGAACCATTTTCGACGGGAAACTGAAGTAGAGCATGGCAGTTCCGTCTCTCTCCCGAATACTCTCGCAGGTCGGAGTTGGATCGGCAGAGACTTGGTATTCGATCACGTTGCACCTCTGGGGACAGCGGCAAGGAATAGTTTCCTGATAGGCGGAGGGTGCTTGGCGGGTCTGCCACAGTTTCATGAAGTGGCCCCATTCGTTCTCTCCATTTTTGCATTCTGGTTTCGTGGCACTTACTCCCATAGGCAAGATGGAAGGGATGGCACATGTGACCTCTGGACTCGAGTAGAATTTCTCCCAGAAGCAGATTTCCATGCACTAAACGACCATTTAGTGCACGATGAAGGTGCATCATCAAAATTGCTCAATACGTTCTCATATACAACTTCAGTAGGAGTGGCCAAGTCAAAATCGCATCTTTTCACTGAGATCAATATATTAGGCATAGGAGTTTAAGTACAGCATGACCTAGGCAGCCGAAAATCGGCACACGCATGCTACATGATCGCGAAATATCGTATTCCGAAAGCAGCTATTTCGTATGTTAAGCTGTTTCAACGACGACAGCCGATAATAGTGAAAATCACGTAACAGAAGGCTACGTAGGAGCAAGTGGCAGAGCGTTTTCCTATTCACTACATGCTGACAGAAATGAAATTTTACGTGCCATACATTATAGCATAGGTGAAGTTCAGTAAAAAAATTATCAAGTGCTGTTCGGGGCAAAAAATGAAGCAGCTGTTGAGGCGCGTTGCTGAGGAAATGGCTGAGGTGCAAGCTAGACTCATGCTGAGCCCCAATGGACGTAATCTACATCAACAGTTCCACAACAGCCGAATCAATCGGATTTTTAAAGAAAAATTACAATTACATGTGAAAATGGTAAAAGGGCGTTTCGGTGGTGTAGGACGAAGGAAGTTGGAACTACCCCATCCGAGGTATCGTGATCAAAGAAAATGTGCCGTTTTCACCTGGTCACCCGAAATATTTTTTCTCACTCTCGAATAGCTGTAGTCCTCGTGAGGAACGCAGGGTTCCTCCTTTTGGCTCAGTCGATGGATGACCTCCGGACGGAGGAAGATGCCTGTCAGAGTGTTGTTGCGCAACAGGAATCGTTTGGTGGAGGTCATGCCCAGAAACGTAAATTTCTCATTCCGATCGTGGATGTACATTTCTATTTTTGACGAGCTCTGAATTGAACAAGTGAACAGGAAAATTATTGTGGCTTCGCGTGTGCTTCTTGGAAAGGAAAATGAATTCTGCACTCACCCCGAAAGTTTTGAGGATCTGTCTGAAGTCGAAGAGAAAGGTGGTGCCAATGCAGGACAGCGATTCGGTGACCACTCTTTTCACAGGCAGCAACGTGAAGCACTTGTAATAATATGAACCAATTGGATCGCTGGTCCATCTATCGTAAGCAAACGTTCGCTCGCTCCAGATTTCAGAACCTATGAAACCAGGCGACTTCTAACATGTCTTGATTCAGCCGTTTAATTGACCGAAATAATGCAATGTACTTACCGAGGTCATGAATGGTTTCCCCATTGACGGATTTGAGTTCCACTTTGATTTTCTCATTGGCGTTTGCGAACTTCATAGGAGCGAATAGGAGCACGTCCGGCAACGAAACGGAGACATTCTTGAAACCCTCGGCCAAGGTTGTGTTCGTCGACAGAATTCCACTCAGATATGTGAGAGAGCCGTCGGTGCCCAGTGCGGAGGATCTCACCGACGGCTTGGGGCAGAATGTGAATGCTGGGGTTTGGATCATTTGGGCATTTTCCATCGCATGCAACGTTTGGGTTGGGTGGGACAGATATTCTTCGACCAGTATCGCCACCTGTTGTTTCATTTTGGATTAATAGTAATTAGTGTTGATTAGTGATACTTTAGGCATTAATAAGTTAAGGTTATTCCCTATCTCACCTGCCAGATTGCAAGGACTGCAAACATCGAGATCAAAATTGCTTTTATAACTTTGCTGGTCATGCCCATCTTGCTTCCACTCCTCTTGGCTTAATGAAGAAAATCACATTTCAACATATTTCCAAGGTTTTCCTTTTGCAAGATTGACGATTACTTTACCTTGAAGCTCCTGCATGTGCAGGTCGTTTCCCATATCCTTGGTCTTCTGCAGCGCAGTTTGACCGATTTTCGAGGAGAAGCAAGTTGACTGAGAATCCAATGAGGCAGAAACCACGTGATCTGGGGGGGTAATCAAGAGCATTATGGTAGCATGTAAGAGGAAAATTAAATTCATTCCGCTGTCGTCCATTCGAGGTTTCGAGTCCATGATGGTGTTACCCAATGGAGACGATCCACAATTAAATGCAATGTCTCGTATTTCCTTATGGCGCGTTTCGCTTACTGCGGGTCCACAGCTCATAGAGAAACTCTTAAAGTCCTGTAGAGTTCTGTCAAGGAATAAATTATAACTTGCGAATTCCAGCAGAAGCCCAGTCAGCAATTGATCCCTCGGCTAAGTGTGGGTTATCTCCGCGAGGTTAACTTTTACAAGCTAAGTCCAGGGGTGGCATATGCATGGGGTGTCATGTAAATGTCCGCGTTGTCTGTGGTTCCGAGTCTAGTACGTCAGGATGAGTCGAAAGTATTGCCCAACCTTCTTGCTTTTAATTACTCAAAACTACGAAAATAAGGAAAATCATACGAAAGTAGACAATATGCTCAACATAACACTTCTTTCTTAGCAAATAATTATAGGCAAAACAAATAAACAGCGTTGATGATATCCAAGGATATCAATGTCAATTTCATGCGATTGTCATGCAAATGATATCGCTTTCATATAAAAAAAGCGTGGTCGTTTGATCATGGAACATGTAGTCTCTTTTGAATATTACGGGACGGAACTCCCTGGATATGCGTATGGTGAGTCACGTTTGAATATTATGGATGAAATTCCCCTAAAGTTGGTTTATAATCCTTTTTTTTTTACTGAAGTGGCGATGGAGAGAGGGAATTAAGGGATGTACCCAATGATACTGGTTCGAAACATGAGAATTCATAATACCTGCAGAGTCTCATTTGGATGGGATGGGACGGATGTCGATTGAGGTCGCAAATATTTCACGTGTGACAGCGAGCTGTGAAAAAAAAAATCTCACGAACTGAGGAAACGTAGTAACTTCATGAAAAGTAACGAAGTCGTCACCTTCGGGGAAAGGTGATAGATACTGCTTATTGGGATAAGCTCTATCCAACGGGATTATCAAACGAGAAAAAATTATAAGTCGAGTTGCTACTCATGGAAATTGGAAAATATGCTGAAGAAACAGTCATCTCCACGCATTCGAAAACGCAGTGCTTCCCAACAGAGGGCTGCGACAAATTTTGAGGAAAAAAAGATGCAATGCAAATGATGCAGATAATATTTGTCGGATTTTTAGTGTTGACTTATATATTCGATCTTACCTTATTTTGGCACAGATGTTTCCAGAGGTGAGTTTACTGGCTCAAAAAGTTCTGGTCCTGGTACAAATGAGAACGAGAACAAATGTAGCGCGAAGAGCAACGAGGAAAGTCCGATGCGATGAACTTGAAAAAGGCTGGTCTACCAAGGGCTTCAAAAGGGTTTTTTTTTTCTCTTCTTTCTCCAAGAGCCCCTGCAGTGAGTCGAAGCAAACACCGCACCCCCCACCTGGTCTATTCTCTTCTTATAGTTGCATAATCCGGCACTTTTTTTCCTTCCATGGCCCTCCTGTCAATAGGACATCACTTCTTGATGAGATGAGAGCGATGTTTGTTGGAGATGTCGGGCTTCAATCGTCCTTCTGAAAACAATGCCGTCAATATTTTACGTTCAGGCTTTCAAAAGGACGATCGAGCTCTGACATCGCAAACAAATTGAGCTCTCATCTCATCTAGAAGTGTTGCGAGGCACCAGTCCACATTAAAATGGGAATGTCTGAAAACAGCAGACTTGATGCCACAGATAACGCGTATATTTACGTGACATATGCCACCCGTGGGCCAAGCTTGTAAAAGTTGACGCGCGCAGATGAGCCGCAATTGCCCGGGGTAAAAATTGCTGACTGAGAGTACTTGAAAGATTTGGGTCTTCTTGAAACGCTTTACGACCCAGAGCGTATCATCAGTCTGACTGCTTTTATTATCCGGTAAATCGGTTGTGGATGAGAGTGGAATTCAGAAATATCTCAGGATGTGGAAAAATCCCCACGCAGCTTAACGCAATGATTTTGCTCGTTGAGATTGACACAAATTGGAAGGAAATGAGAACCGGAAGAGATGAATGAAGGCATTCAACCAAGAAGACAGCAGTCAGAGTGAAATGAGGATTCGAAGTCTCACCTTAGTGAAGGAGGAGGTCATGCGGCCTCTTCCCCTTCGCGGCTCCGTGTGAGAACCGAAATCCATTAGCAGCTCTTAACATCCATATTTTCCTCCTCTTCCCCCATTACTTTTCCATCAATAAAGTTTGGATGACTTGATGAGAGTGCGGCTTGACTGAAGTGGCAGACATTGATTTTCTTTTGAATGGCCCAGCGTAAAATATTCATGGCGATGTATTTTATTCAGTGAAATAGGGTTCTGGGAGGAAGAGCTACATTATTTGTCATATGGAAAAATGATGAAAAACATCGGTTGTAATTAAAAGAAAATCCAAACCAACATCTATTTTCATAAGACCTGACCTTGTTATTGTTGAATGACGTATTTTGGCCCGCGAATCATATTGACGACTTACGTTGAGTCAACACTTCCTCCAACAGGAGACTTCGAAATTTAGGAGATTGTGAGGTAGACATGATCCTGATTTAGAAAGATACGTGCGAGTACATGTCAAAGAGCGTGTCATCAGTCTTACATTTAAGAGGAAAGGACATATTTGACGACTCTGGTATAAGTTGAACCTTTGGCCCCCTCAATTTGTGGATGACCCTAGAGTTTCAAGGGTCAGAGCATTCTCTGGCTTTTACTTTGCTTCTTAGTCTATATGTTACAGGTACACCCTGTCTTACGCTCTAATCACCCTGCATGATACATTCTGGATAAATGTTTACGTATTTTTCACTTCTCTGTCAACTCATTTCTTTTTTTAAATATATTTTATTCCCCCTCGTGATGGTGGCTCAAGCGCACTTTGCCTGCATTGCGATTTTATTTTCACCTTCCTCCATCACCCCTGTACCTCTGCTCTACATTGACGTGGCCTCATTTTCATTTCATCCATCCATTAGCATCTTGCATTCATGAAATCCCTTGAATATTGCATGAAATCGACCTAACCGATCTCATCGACATGTGGATGAATTATCTATCAGTACAAGGATGAACGAGATAGCTGAAACGCTTAGCAGCGCTTTTTAAATGTTTCTCGTCATTCGCTTATTCATACTTCTTTTTAGATAACGTCATGGAATAATGTCGGTCCAGCTATCGTCTTCAGATTGTTTCCTGAATATATATCATTTTTCTGCACCTGGAATCTAAAAATAAAAGCTGCCGCATCAGAAAACAGGGAGCACATTCTACTCTATGTTTTCACTGTAAGTCCTGTTCCCTGCATCAAAATCCATTTTGGAACCTGTTCAGTCATGATATCTCAACACACTGGCTTCGTCAAATGGACTTCCTCTGTCAACAGAGAAGGGATGATGCAGGATACGTTTGGATTTGACTGGAAACTCATCCAGAAGCAATTCTCCATGCACTGAGGAATCATGCGCATGAACATATTTTACAATTGCCTTATCTCAGTATCAGCCACCCCTCAGTGAATCAAAGACTAGTACACTAGAAGTCACAGAAGTAATGATTTTGATAAGAAAAAATGACGGCTTTCTTCCCCATGTGTCACGTATTCCGATGGGACGTACTTTAAATACGTGTTTGCCATTTGCAAAGAATAAATGAATTAATCGCTTTCCAAGGTAATGGAGCGCCGAAGGCGCGACCACAGCGAGTTTGTTTGCCCGAAGAGCAAACAAGCTCGCTAGTATTTCATATGATGGATCTATCTGCAGAAATTTATGTCGCAAAATACTCTGCTTTTTACTAGCCTGTGTTGTATCAGGTTGGTACATAAGTCTTGTCGGAATTTTCACTTTCTGTTTTTTATTGAAAAAAAGAACATTAATCAACATTATATGTGCCACCATTATCTACATCGTTTTCCCATCTCCGGGGCAAATCCATAATACCATCTTCATAGAATTGGGGGGATTTCGACTTGAAAAAAGTTCGCAGGTCCTTTTCCAGCTGGTCACCATCATCAAAGCGTTTTTCCTTTAGATGGTTCTCTAGCGCCCGGAACAAGTAGTAATCTGCGGGTGCGAGGTCCGGCGAATACGGCGGATGAGGCAGGATTTCCCAGCGAAATTTCTCTCGCAAACTCTGCAGCTGTGCACAGTAGACATCAAAGGTGACAGTGGTATTGGGCGGGAGCAACTCGAAGAAGATGACGCCCTGAAAATCCCAAAAGACGGAGAGCAGCACCTTCTTCGGATGAAGGTCGCCTTTTGGTTCTGGTTCCGGCTGCTGTCGGTCACTGTCCGGCCACTGTCGCTTGCGGATGTGGTTGATGTAGAGCACCCACTTCTCATCTCCTGTGACGATTTGGTGGAGGAAGCTCTGGCGGTCCCACTGCTACAGCATAAATTTGCAGATGCTGACCCTCTGCTGGAGGTTGTCAGGTGTCAACTGGTGGGGTACCCATGTGCCGGGTTTTTTTCACTTTGCCCAAGTCCTTGTGATGGCGTTCAATGGTCACGTGGGAGCGCTCGAGTTGCT